ATATGTGGCGGTTAAAACAAACGGCGGCGATTATATTTTGTAATCAAGGCAACGGCTTGTTTTCGCACACATATTTGTTCCTTCTTGTTTTGTTTTACTTATTATTTTATTTTTTTGCTCTGCGGCTCCACTCATTCTCGTTTGAAATTCCAAACATCGCGGACGCGCGCTCCCGTCGGCCTTTTCGCCATCGACGTCGTCGTTCCCCTTCGTGCGCGAATTTACTCTGTTAAACCCATTAAAGTTTTTACATTTATTTCAAACGCCCCAGCATTATTGTGTACACGTTCTTTATTAAATAGCGGTAAACGCTAAATATATATTTATTTATTTATGAATATATTTATATATATAATATATATAAACAGAATGTAATATATAAATTGTATTAAGTTCTTGAGATATGCAATCAAAGGAAAACATAGAGAGGCCTCTAAGAACCGAGCACAGGTTGTTGGTGCGAATAAATTTAAATAAGTGGATAATATATTTGACAGGATAATATATTTAACACTGTCATCGCATGCGCTGGCGGGTTTGTCAGACATTTACATACGTACGCGGAGATTTTAACAACTTTTAGAAAGTCAATTAACGCACAAACAGATAATTATTATTTTGGTATATCGTAATTTAATTAATAATTATAATACAGAATCGGTTTGACGTAGGAGGGAGATTCCCCGCTTACATTTGTATAATCCGACATCCGACATCCGGCATGAAATAACACCGTTAAAAATATATTATCCTATATAAATATATAATCCTCCCGTATAAATTTATTCGTACCAACAATCTATGCTCGTTTCTTATAAGCCTTTCCATATTTTTCTTTGAGATAAAATGTCTTTATATCTCTTTTGAAATGGCATTGTTCAATATAATTACTAATCATAATTATACAATAATTACCTAAATAGTGCTCAAACATTCTGAATGTGCTCAAGACATCCTAAGACTCTTTATCTTCGACATACAAGATGATTCTGAAATATTTTATGCTATCTGGTTAATAATCGCGATACGTATGAGCACTATTTATGAGCATAATATCTATGAGTCTTACCTGAATTGGTAAATGAGCCCAAAATAAAAACCGATCTTTTGATTCTCTGACTGAGTTTGCAGACATTTTCGTAATTTAATATAGACGCGTCTTAATTAGACAAAAGGAATCTATATGATTCATCGAGATTTAAGAAAGTTCGGCGTAATCTCGTGAACGAGTAACAGAATTGTATGCGTGCGCAACGGCTGATGACGCGAATTTGTGTTATGACTCAATGCAAAGAGAAATCGCGTTTAACACTCGGCCGTTTGACGGTCTTTTCTCGCCCTTGGCACGAATCAGCGATTCGCAAAGAAGCGATCATATTTGAAAAACGAGATCATACATGTTGTTTCGTAGCGCTTATATCCGCATAACCGTTTCTTCATTTAGAAAATGAAAGGTTTTACATCATGTCTCTGCAATAAGTCTGCAATAATTGATTTATTAACTATTCGTTATTGTTGGGATTCCCCAATATCGTAAACTTTTCCGATGTAAAAGAACTTATTTATTCGTATTGCATACAGAATTTTTAACAAGAATTTTGTTAAAAGGAACGAGATTATCTCGAACTGTACACTCAGCAAACTGTTCATGATCGTACAACGAGAGAAGAATTAATAATGCAAAATAATCATCACTTTCATATTTTCGCATGGTACTTAACATATTATTTTATGTGATCAAATGATTTAAAGGAGTTTGCGTGTCCGGTATTTGTAGATTGCTCCGAAAGTCTTCACAAAATGGCATTAGATGTTATGTCATATCAAAATTATTGACAGGTTTCTTAATTAATAGGTTTTTTTAATTTCATATATTTAATGATTCTTTGCCTTTTGACGCAAAAAATATTTATTCGTTCAACCATGAAACGCGTTCAAAGCTGATATTTCCGAAAAAAAATTTATCGCAAGAAAACTTCTGCGAAATGATTTTTTATGTCTTTAAGAAGTCGCTAACTCCGCTACAATGAAAATCTTCGCTCTTTGGCAATGAAGCAAAATCCCAAAAAATTGTTTATAAGCGGTACGCGAACTTCAAACACAGTCAAATAGAGCTCGATGATGAATCCTGTGAAAGCTGTTTTGCCACGACGATCATTCCAGAGAACGTCGATATTGTGCGCAATTTATTATAGGAAAACCATCGCACGATCTACAGAAAAATTAAGGCATCTGTAGACATTAATGACTCAAATCAAAACCATCCTAAATGATTTTAGCATCAAAAAGCAATATGCCTGTTGGATATCGCACAATTTAATGGAAACCCAAAAAAGGCGTGTGTCAATGGAGCAAAGAAATAATTAAACAGTATGATCACGGTCGGTTCAAAGCAGTGTATGACATCGTAACAGGTGACGAATCGTGAATTTACTGCTATGAACCAGAAAGCAAGCGACAATCGAATATGTGGATGTTCCTAGACGAGCCACATCCAACAAAAGTGAAGCGCAGCCGAAATGTTGGCAAGAAAATGATTACATTGTTCTTCAGGAAAATTGGTTTTGTTATGCCTGTTGCGCTTAAAAATCTTACAGTTAATACTGAGGGGTACACAATAATTTGCCTGCCGATTGTATTTGAAAAATTCGTAAAAATCGTGCATTATCTTGCAATAAGATAACGTATCGTTATGTAACGCAGAAAATACAACAAAATAGGTTTGGGTCACTGCCCGTATACAATTGATTACTTATCCGCCTTACAGTCCCAACTTGAGACTACTCTACAATTTCTAATTTCTATACATCAAGGATAAAAATTATTTGAAGTTTAATACGGCTTATGCGGCGGTGGAAGCATTCGAAAATCTGGTGTCTGGAGTGTCTCCAGAAAAATTGATAAAATGCTTCGACAATTGGTTTCGTCGAGTGGAAAAGTATATTAAGTATAACAGAGAATATTTTGAGAAGCAATAAAGCCAATTTCAGAAATTAATTCTATGTTTTTATATGTAAACTTTCGAAATAACTCTCGTATTGTAAATATCTTGTTCAGGGAAATATTGGTCAATCTGATACAAAAAACCAAAAACAAACCCATACTCTCGCATGAATCCACTCACGCATTATTTCAGGAAAACGGACGGAAAAACCGCGAGCAAAAGAAGCTTGCAGTTACTTGGAATTCGAACTGGGATAATAGTAAACCACTGCTGGTGCCGGTAACTGCCAATGGGCGGCGTGGAGTTCAATCAATTGCAGGAGCGTCTTTTTGACCGATGGTAACGTTGTCGTTTCTTCCGCTAAGAAAGCATCGCGTACACTTCCGAGCAGCTGTTGTAGTTGCGCAGGCAATTCTGCATCCAAGTCCTTGCCGATACATGTGAGGATAAGGAACAGGCAATTCGTCTACGGTATACAAATATCCGTGTTAAAATTAAAAATAATAAAACAGGTTAATTATTTATTTACAAATAATTTACAAATTTTACAAATAAAAATATTCAGATTAATTATTTACGCTATGGATCTTTGGATAATTATTTACGCTACCTCATGGATCTCTTTCATTTTTATATATGTTATAGAGCAAGCCACGGCAGGCAAGAAACATAACTTTCGGCTAGATTTCGTAATGCACACCCATTTTCTCTTCTTATCGCCCGCGATATAACAATCAATCCTGGAACTCGCGACGTGCTTTATGTCAGGAACGGCCAATCCATGAATATAATCAGATCGGGCCATAGACGTAATATATATAGAGTTCGGCAAACGATGAACTTTTCAGCCGATTTTCGATAGGCTGCGCCTCGGGTTGTTCCCCTTGTCTTATTGTCTTATTATCCCGCGCCTAGCCAACGAACTGTACGAGCCTCAAATTCGTGGTCATCGCATATTGTGCTATAAGGCCTGTAAAAGGAAGAAAAATCAGGAAACCTATGGATCTTTTTTTAAAGATGTTTTATTATTTATTATATTTTTATTTTAATCATGAATATTTGTTTTATGCACTATTGCTGACACGTTTTTTTTGAACGATATTCCCAGATAGGCCTAGTCCACCAGTAACTAAAAAATTGACTGGACAGAAGTAGAATGAGAGAATGAGAAACATATAATATATGAAGAACATTCTGCTTCTGTCCAATCAGTGTCTTTTCAGTTATTAGTGAACTACGCCTACTAAGGATACTACTTGAAAAAAAAAAAAAACACGTTAGTAATAGTACCTTATAGGTGATGTGGAAAACTATTAAAAACAAATATTCACAATTAAAATAAAAATTTAATAAAAATATAATATCTTTAACAAAAAATTCATAAGTCTTCTGATTCTTCTCCCTTCTACGAATTCCATAGCATGATATACGGCAACCACGTTCCTCAACTCGACTCGAGCGGTGTGTTGCCTGCGCGTGAGATAAGGAGGCAAAAGGAACAATATAAAACTAAGTTTCCTGAAAATCGGTTGAAAAGTGCATTGCTTGCTCAGCTCTGATCTAAACTCAGCGTTTACCTTTATTTCAGAAATAGGAATCGAGATTTACGTAAAAAATAGATGCACTCGCTATTTTGCGTCCCTTGCGTTCTCTTTCGTTTGCATGGTCTGTGCACGTGTCACGAACGAGAGAGAACACAAAGAATTCAAAATAGTGAATGCATCCTTTTCTACGTGCATTTCGACTCCCACTCTTCAAAACTCGGTCTAGATATATTATATCTGTGGGTCAAACTCTCTTTCATATTAAAAATAAGTATCTTACGTTAAATTTACACGCAATGAAATAAGGGAGATGTATATAACATGGAATTATATATATAACTTTTTCCTTTAATCTAATTGTTTCATATACATTATTGATGTAGCAGAGGATCCTTCTCATGGTTTGGCCTGGTTTTTAATGTGAAGTGTCGTGAACCTCAGTTATGCGCTCGGAGGCTATGTCACAAGCGACAAAGAGAAGAAAATGGACATGCATTCCAAAATCTGACCGAAAGTTGCATTTTTTTTTCGAAGCCTGTTATAGAGAGTGGAATCATGACTTACTTGTACTTTGAATCACAGAATTCATATGTAGTTCCTGGGATATATAGCTTTAAGATAGGAATTTTCAAAATGTGGGTCGCAATCCACTAGTGGGTCGCAAACCAATTTTTAATGAGTCGTTTTGATGAAAACTTTTAGAATATTAAAATACGTTTTGTTACTTCGCGTAGTTTTACAAACTGGATAAAGACTTGTTGCCTACCCTTATAATATATCAACATATTAAATAATGGGGACAAGATGCATTCCAAAATCGCGTATCTAGAATTAAAAGATTTATAAAATTATATTTGATAAAAAATTAAAAGTAATAAAGTAATATAAATAAAGTGGTATAAATATCAATTAACTCCTCTCCTTGCTTCTTCATATCTACTAAGGTTATTCATGGATGGTTGGATCCACTAAAGTGGGTCATGGATTTACCGTCCTAAGAAATGAATCGTGGTTCACACAGGCTTCGGAAATCATGCCCAAAAATGTTGTAATTTTATATCTAATTACACAGTCGTTTATTTTTGCAATCAAACGTATAATTCATATTATACGTTATTATTCTTCTTTTTTTACATTTCTTATGTTCACATAGGCCAATTGCTGTGCGTACATTATAATAAACGAGTGAAAATACCAAAAAAGTTACCTCCAATGAATCTGACCTTGATATATATTGTCAAAGTCACCTTCCTGAATAAGGTTTGAAAAGTTTTTTAGCCATCGCTCATTGTTTATTAAAAAATTATTAACAAATAAATATGATCATACAATAGAATATTTTAAATGATAATCTGTTCATTAAATATTGTAAAAATTCTATGTATTACATATATTTATTTTATTATAACATATTTTAAAGATTGCTTCCTGTCAACATATTGTTCAAATTTTTCGCGTTTTAGAAGAGCTACGATATAGATATTAATTAGTGCATATTGGGGCTTCGATGCATTTGCAAAGTGCAATGAATTTTTTTTAAGTTTATCTATGTTTGATTACAGCGTTTGATTTCACCTGTAATTCTATATACAAAATTATTAAAGTAATTTTATCGAAAAGTTCATATAAGAATATTGATGATTTTATGAAATATTTCATATTTTGTACTGAAAATATCAAAATAAAAAGTAAAATATCTCGAGTATTTATTTTTCAATGATCTTACCTCAATACTTTTATACATAGTATGAACAAAAGAATAGATTTGTATAAATAAAACTATATGATCTCATTAAAAAAAATGAAGTTGACCTTTATTTAATCTTGACGCATCTATCTAAAATTAAACTGATGAGATCGGTAAATAGATCTTTTTAACCCCTTAGCTTACAATGTCGTGTCAGAGACGTGATATGTCGACCGGGCCAAACATCAATAAGTCGTATCAGAGACGTGGTATGTTGATCGCGCCGAACATGAATAAGTCGTATCAGAGACGTGGTAGGTCGACCGCGCCACGTCTTAGAGACGTTGTAGAGCTAATCGGGCCACACGCGACATTACATGTACCAAAATGTTTTGAAAAATATCATACTATCGAAGATTGTTAAATTTTTGTAAATTTTATAAAAACGATGATATTCTTCAATATCTGTTTATTTAGAAATAAAAATAAAAGTGTTATTAATTTATTATTCACTTCAAGACAATAAATCTTTCTTGTTCAATGATCAATTGATTGTAATTATTTATCAGACATCTTGCAAAGTAAAATTAACCTTACCTTAACCTACTTTAAGTTAACCGTACCTTAAACATGTATTTACAAATCATAGGATGTCTGCGATTTGCACAACTTCGAACGCTCGGCCAAACCGTAAATGGCTCGACGTGTGACCGACCTTACAGTCACTTATGGCCCGCGCCATCGGAACTTAAATCGTAAGGCAGTTAAACCAAATAATTTTTATCTGGAATATATTTTCTTTAATTACATTGTCTATGAGATATTCGGCAGTATCCAGACTTTCAGTGTACTCTGTATAACAATAATATATGTGTGTACAGCGAAATAATTTGTTCAAAAGTTTCTAAAATATACTTTCATATAAGCAATTATCAAATCATTATTTAATTCTCTGTATTGCGAAAAATACTGCCTTAGTCAGAAGTCGAATCTGGAACTTTCTACTTGCTGGACAGCGCGTAATATTTCGGTGAGAATTCGCTTATCGAGGCCTAGATGGTATTTATCACGAATATACTTATAACAATCACAATTTCACGTAAATCTGATAAATAAACAGTATATATTTATTGCAAATGTAAAATATACTGATAGATATGGAATGGAAAATATTTATAATTAGGATTAGAGTGAATTCCAATTAGAATTTCAATCTAGTCATACTTTATCATATAATGATGTAAAAAAGTTAGAATCTGCAATAAAAATTATATCAGCAACTACGAATAATTATACTATATTGTTGACTATTTCCGCTAATAATAGATTGTTGTCGCTTATTTTTATTATATTAAAAGAAATTACAGGAACGTTTATTTCGAAAGTGTAGAAAATATTATTTAACTCGTGTAATATTTTTATTACAGCGTCAACATCAGATAAATTAATATCGAATCATGTAAAAATTTGTTTGAAAGAAGTATTTTTTTCGAATGCCGAACCACATTTAGTGTTATTACCAAGTTAATAAGTCTTTAGAATGACACATTAGTGATGTTGCCACTTCCAATGCGCCGTGAATTTCCAGTAGTGCTAACCTTCAAACCTTTCATTACACAGTTGCAGACAGCTATGACAATCAGTATATTTGTGACAACCACCGAAAGCACATAACGCTGATATTTTGTAATAATGGAAAAAAACTGAAATTCGTGCAGTAATTCATTTTTATTTGAAAGGCTTGCAACCGCGAGAAATGATTGAGAACTTCCAAAAAACTTTGGAGGAGTCTGCTCCGTCGAGTGTAATCGTATATAACTGGATTGCTGAGTTTAAACGTGGTCGTACCAGCACATTTGATGCACGACGCAGTGGTCATCCAAATGAGGTGACTACATCAGAAATGAGTGAAAAAATCCATGGAATCGTGTTGGATGACCTCAAAGTGAAATTGCATGAATTACATGCATGAATTAACAACTGCGGCTTTGAGTTTCTCATCTGAACGTGTGTTCAATATCCTATACAAACATTTGGGTATGAGAAACTTACATTGAAAATATTGGATTTCGTACCAAAAGAAGAGCATTTGCAGAAAATATTACTATTCTGCTTTCAGAAATCTGCTGATGAAAGTCATCGTTTGCTAATGGAGGCTTATGGGAAGCATACTCTACCTCAAACAACTTGCAGAGATTGATTTAGACATTTCAAAGATAACGATTTTGACCTGAA